CTAGGAGTCCTTAAGACTGCAAAAATCCCACCTTCCTCAGGCCCCAGGAACCTCATGCTCACTCTGAGCCCACCAGTCCTCAGTCCACCTAAATCCCCATGAGGGGAGCCGCCAGAGACAGGGAGCCCACCAGCTTCCTGTGAGACTTGCCTCTAGGTTCAACCAGGAACACTTGAACAGTCCCACTACAGGCCTAGCCTCTCCCTCAGGACCCACTGCTCTGCAGATGCCCTTGAGAGAGGTCCAGGGCCAAACATATTATAACCAGCATGGTCACATAAAAGGAGGAAGGTGAACATTTGTCTACCAGCCTTTCACCACCATGGACCTCCTTAACTGGAAGCACCACACCCCCTCCTTCATGGAAAAGCCTCAGGCTCTGAGGCAGTCCATCATTCAAACTCACAAGCCCACCTGGACAGACTGCTGACAGCTTCCTCTGACTCTATTTAATACTGAGGAGCAATGCTGTATAACCTTGGTGGCTCTAAACTGGCTGGAAGGACCATGACCCTGTGGACACTTGAAATGCCCAAACCTATGCTCAGTTCCCTGAGGAGGACTCCCACTGGGACCCTAATGATGACGGAGATTACCAGTGGCTTGAATGGTATCAGGAGGCATTATTAGGAGGTATGAAGAAAGGAGTGAAAAAGGGCATGAGTAAGACAACAGAAGTCCACCAAGGGCAAGATGAGAGCCCCAGTCAGTTTTACGGGTGACTATGTGAGGCCTTCCACCTATACTCCCCTTTTATCCCATAGGCCCCCGAAAAACAGAGGATGATTAATGCAGCCTTTGTCAGCCAGGCCCAGGCAGACATAAGGCAAAGACTGAAAAACCTTGAGGGGTTTGCTTGCATGAACACCAGCCAGCTTCTGGAGGTAGCCACAAAAGTCTTTGTCAATTGAGATCAGGAGGCCAAATGGGGGGCTGACAGAAAGATGAAAAGGAAGGTGGACCTCCTTGTTGTGGATGTAGCTGGATAGTTGGTGGGCCCCAACGTGCAGGCCATGGCAAAGGAAGAGACAATCCCTGTGGACGGTGGTCAGCACCTCCTGGATGGCCTCACCCTTGAGAGAACTGAGACGGGACTAGTGTGATTATTGTTGTCACGAAGGACACTGGAAAAATGAATGTCCAGCCCAAGGACCTCCAGAAGCCCTCTGCCAGCCAGAGGCAGAGGCCAAGTTGTTGAAGGAAAGTATTAACCTGCTCAGGGGAGAAGCGGGCCCTGGGAGGAAGATGTTGTTGGACTGGCCACTTTTGAGGATTGTGAGGATAGACTGGCCTCCATGCCACTGGGTCCCCAGGAGCCTATGGTCTGAATGAAGTTAGGAGGCCACCTCATTGACCTCCTGGTGGATACTGATGCAACCTACTTGGTTGTAACCAACCCGTGGGCTCTCTCTCACAGAGACATGCAACCATTTTGGGGCCATGGGAGATCAGACTTACTGCCCCTTTCTTGTATCCAGAAAATGCAATCTTGGAAAGCAGGAAGTAAGGCATGAGTTCCCTTACCTTCCTGATTGTCCAGTGGCCTTGATGGGCAGAGATCTGTTGTGTAAGCTAAGGGCACAGATAAACTTTGACTCTGATGGCACGACAGCTTTAAAGCTGAGAGAACCTGAAGCCAAGATTCTGACCCTCATGGTTGCACAGGAGGAGGAATGGAGACTCTATGCCTCTAAAACAGAAACTCCTGAGGTGCCTGAATTTCTCTTTAAGATTCCAGGAGTGTGTGCTGAGGACAACCTCCCCTCAGACTGGCTCGAGAGCATACCTGCAATAGGGTAGAATTAAGGAAATAGGTGATCTCATCCTGAAACAGCACATGCAGGCCCTTGGGTTGACTCTTTCTCAAAAAAAATATTCAATGGCTGGATAAAAAAGAGAGACTCCCTGTTAGCCTGACAACCCCCACACACCCTTATAAGCCAAGGGATGCTGTTTGGGTAAGGGAATGGAATGTTCAACTGCTAAAGCCCCACTGAAGGGGCCCTTTTGTTGTTGTTTTGTCCATTTCCACATCAGTTCAAGTAGCAGAAATTGTTCTCTGGATCCACCAAAGCTGAGTGAAGCCAGCTTCCCTCGAATGGGAATGCATCCCTGACCCAGCCTCACTGTACAATATCATCCTTCAGAATGCCTGCACCCTTCCCCTAACAGGACCCTACTTCCCGGGATACAACTGGAGACCACGAACAATGAGACATCAGCCCTGCTGTAGTCGCTCTGGAAGCTGACTGGTCTTATGCACAGCGGAACCTTGAGGAGTCACCCATCTCACCTTTGAGGATGAGTCCATTCCATGTTTTCTTCTTGCCATTCTTGATCAGGTCCTCTACCTGGGGACCCCCAGGCTTTGGACTGTGACTTACGCATGCTCACTACCCGAGTGGGGAGTGTGTTAGCAAAACTACTTGTTATTCCTATGCAGGCACCATTGCTGGGTCATGCACCCCAACCATACCACCTACTCAGCATGCTTTCATGATGGTCAGTATGTCTGTTTTAACCCTATCCATCGTCCTTGGGAGCAATGGCTAGAGGCCCAAAGCTTCACCAGCACTGGGAAGCTTGCTAACCACACTCGGGTTAATGACCCCAACAAACCTGTGTCCATATACTTTGATGTGTGTGCTGCAATAGCTGAAAACATGAGGTCTTGGGGCAACTGTTGGGGGATAGCCTGGAAAAGGATCTATATGTTAAATGACAATTGTGTGTACTATGAACAACTGTACTGCCCTTTTTGGGGTTGTGAAAGGTGGGAAACTTGGCTAATACCTCACATGGAACACTGCTCTTTTACAAAAAAGGGAAGCAACCCCTGACTGCACTCTTGGTGCCTGTAGCCCTGTAAATTTCACTGTTTTCAACCTCAATGAAACAGGCTGGGAGGTCGGAAAAAAGTTTGGCACTTTCATCTATGGAAAGGGAACAGACCCTGGCACATTGTTGCATTTTCAGCTCATCATGATCACTCATGAGAGCTCCTCAGACCTGGTCTTTCACTCCTTTTACGTGGAGACACAAAGAGAGTTTCCCATCTCAGTTAAAGCCAAAAACCTATTCATTTCACTAGCTGAGTCCATAACACAAACTCTGAATGTAACTTCGTGTTATGTTTGTGGGAGAACAAATACGTGAGACCATTGGCCATGGGAAGCAAAAGAGCTAAATTCCCAAGAGCTCTTTAATGGAACCACTCTCCCTAGCCATGGGGAGAACATTTAGTTCCTAGAAACCTCTATTATTGGGAATTACTATATCTCCTGTCCAAAAGGCCAACTCTCCACCCTGGTAGGGGACTTGATCTGCTTGGGACAAAAGTTTTACAATGATACTACTCAGGATACTCAATGGTGGGGGGCTCCCAATCATATGGAACCCCAACCTTACCCAGTGGCTAACTGCCCTAACCGTGGGCACAGAGTGGTGGGCACCTCTTTTTGCTCTCCCTCAGACAAGGTGAAAAATTAGGAGTCTCCATATATGAGGAAAGGATAAACAGGAAAAAATGAGATGCCCTACAAATAGGGGACTGGAAGGACAATGAATGGCCTCCAGAGCAGATCGTTCAATATTTTGGTTCTGCTACATGGGCAGAAGATGGTTCCTGGGGCTATCACACCCCAATCTATATGCTCAGCTGCTTCATTTGGCTTCAGGCAATGGTTGAAATTATAACTAATGAAACAGCTAAAGCCCTCAACATATTAGCAAAACAACAAACTAAAATACGCAACACCATCTACCAAACCCATTTGGCTTTAGACTATTTGCTAGCCTGAGAGGGTGGAGTATGTGGAAAGTTCAATCTGAGTAACTGTTCTTTACAGATTGATGATGATGGAAAGGTAACTGAAGAGATTACCGGCAGGATAAAAAAAAGCTTGCCCATGTACCTGTGCAGACCTGGAAGGGATGGAGTCCCAGTGACCTGTTCAGGGGCTGGTTCTCTGCCCTATGTGGGTTCAAGACCTTAATAGGCTTCTTGTCTTAGAAGCATGCCTGATTATTACCCTGCCTAATCCCCCTGGTACTGTGGTCTTTCAGGACCATTATGGAAGCTACTATAGAAAGAAAACCAGCTGCTTGTGTAATGGTGCTATGGAAATATAAACTCCTAGATCAAGATGATGCTCTTTGACCCAAAAGTGGGTCCAAGCATCAAAGTGGGGGAATATGGTAAGAAGGCAGGGAGAGGGAAGAGAGATAATAAGTACTACAGTGAAACAAAGAAGAACCAGATTTGAGGAACGTTACTTAGGGTGAGACCAGAGAAAAAGTCACCTCTCCCCAGAGGTTAAAGTGGCCAACAAAATAGCATGTGATCATGCATGGGACAAGCTGTACCCCCCCCCATTTCTGTAACCTGCTCTAAATGGTATATAAGGAAGGCCCGCTTTGTTCCTGGGGCTCAGCTTTGGACTCTAGTCCTCGGAGTCGCTGCCAGCCTGCTTAATAAACTTGCCCCGTTTCTCTGTCTGAGTACTCCTGCAGCAATGGGATATCTGAGAAAAATTACTGGCATGCAGAATTACAGAAGGATTGAATGGCATTTACCTTGGAAGTTAGAGACCAATCATTACTCCTGGGACATTTGCTCCCATTCCCAGTTAGTAACTCCAGAGAATTTTATGTCCCCTGGAGATGTGGTTTTAGGCATACAGATGTTACCTTTGCACTGGAGAGAAGCTGTTTATAGCCCAGAACAAAGTTCTCTCTCCCTCTCTGTTTGTCTTCTTGTTCACTCAGGAGGGAAGAAAAGGTAGGTATTTTACAAGCTCAAAGATTGTAAGGTACATGTCTTTCTCCTGGGGAGAAGAGCTTGCTACAAATGCAGGAAAAACATTGCATTGCCCAGGAAGGGGCTCCTGGGAAAGTGAAGCCATTGCTACAATCCTATCTGGTTGTTGCTATTACCATGCATGGTAAATATTCTGCTCTGATAATGGCATTTGATGCAGGGATCAACATATAGGTACAGATACTGTGGTGCACTAACATTAACTTGCAAATAGACGAAATCCTCAGGCCCTGTATGGTTTCAGATTTAGCAGTTTCCTGCCAACTGTATTCCCTTGTAATCTCTAAAATGTACCTGCCTATGGCTTGTCCCTCACCTTTTTGAAAACCATTCCTGGCCTCTGAGTGCCCTGGATACTAAGACCAAGTTATTTCAGATCATATGCAAAATTACATCATCTGCCCTATCATTTCTTGAGGAATGGGTCTGAGATTTGAACTTAGGACTTTGAGATTGCAAAACAGGCCCTCTACTACTGAGTCAAAATTCCAGTCCATTTTACTCTGGTTATTTTGGAGATGGGGGTCTTGAAAATTATTTGCCCAGGCTGACCTCAAACTTCCATCCTCCTAATCTCAGCCTTCTAAGTAGCTAGGATCACAAGTGTGAGACACCTGCACCTTGCTTGCCTTGTCATTCCTTCTGACATTTGAATCAAGATCCTACTCTTTAATTCTTACTTCCAGGGTTGGTGGCAATGCCTTTAGTCCCAGAATTTGGAACATTGAGGCAGAAGAATCTTTTTAATCCGAGAGCTCAAGACCAGCCTGGACATCATAGTAAGAGCCATCTAAAAATAAAAGCTAATTAAATAAAAGATTCATTCTATTTCTTGAGAAGCCCACCTTGGTCAGCAGCAGCACATCAATGAAATCCAATGTCTTGGACTTGGCCTTGGCCTGGAGGAAGTCATCGATACCATGTTCAGGGAGAGTTCGGCGTCGTTCCTGGATGACGGCATCTGTGAAGTCATGTACCAGGCGGCAGGCCTTACGGAAGCGCCGCCCATCAGGGGTGAGACGGAACAGGAAGTCCATGTGCAAAAGTAGTTGCTGGTTCCTTTTGGCCACAAGGGCACTGAGCTCCAAGATGGCGGCAATATATTCACTGGGCTTCCTGCAGGATGAGGGTATAAGAGAAGGCAACTTAACATCTCTAAATCCAAGGAGCACTTCACAGCAGCAGCTGGGATTCACCTCCCATTGGGAAAGTGAGTATTCAGAGACAGATGGCCTCAAGATACAGGATAGGGGTGAGCCATTCTTGACTCTCTATCATTAATTCTCTCCCTACATTGCATCTCTATCAGCTGCCTCTGTGGCCCTATGCACCCAGAGGAGAGTAGGTACATCAGCCTCCTCTCCTTCTTCTCCTACCCAGCACCCAGTCTTGCCCCACCTCCTTTTGAAGTTGTCCACCCAGCAGACCTTATTCTCTTCCTACTTGTTCCTGGCAGCTCCCTCCCTATTGTCCCTATGTTGTGTGCAAACTTCACACAGTGTCTACATGACATCCAGTGTTCCACAGAGCCCATGTCTGGTCATACCAATCATGCCATCACTTCCATGTTATAATTAGGAAATGTCTCCCCGAAGGCCAGCCTTTAAAAGCTGGAACCCCAGCCCAGGGTTGGTATTGGGAGGTGGTGGAACCTTTACAAGTTAGGGAGAAGATAGGCCATTGAGATATGTGCCTGAGGAGATATTGGACCCAAGTCCCTTCCTGTCTCTGACTCTGTACTTTCCACCTCCCATAAGGTGAATATCCTCCCCACCAAATGCTCCCAGCATGACATACTGCCTTGCCACAGGCCCCAAACCAGTGCAGCCAACCAAGAATCAACTATTGTGATCGCAATAAGCCTTTCCTCCTTTTATATGAGTTAACTCGGGCACTTTGACACTTTAATGGAAACCTGACACAAGTTGGAAACCTTCAGTAGTTCCTTGGCAACCTCAGGGTAAAGTTCACAACCCTTGCCAGACTTTTCAATATCTTAAAGACCTAACCACTGCCTACCCTTCCTGCCCCATTTCCACAGTGCCTCCTCATTGCCTTCACACATGCTCTGCTCACCACACTCCCTTGTCTTTACTCTAACAATTTCACCTGCTTGGAAGGACAACTCGAATCTCCAATCCCCTGTCCTTCAAGCCAGTTCTGAGCCACATCCTCCAGGAATGCCCCTCTGGTGTCTCTGGACAGTCCTCCCTCCCTCACCTCCTCTCTTAGGACCATGGCCCAGGTTTCAATGTCCTTGGAAGAGACTTACTCCTGACAGTTGCTGTCAAAGCTGAAGACACATTTCTGCAGAGTATCCAAAGTCATGAGGCTGACATGCTCAAACATGTCCAGACTGGTGTTGCCCTCCAAGATCAGACGCTGCCACTTGGCCTGGCCAGACAAGGGGACAGGGCTGGGACTGAGTCTTGGCTCCCCGAGCCTGTTCCCAGTCCCAACCACCAGCATGGACTCTCCAGAGATAGCCTCCCAGTCCTTTGTCCCAGGTAACCAACCCCAGGGATAACCATGCTTGACTGGTAGTAGAAGCTGTAACTATAGCAGATACAAGCCCCAGGCAGAGAGTCAGGACCCCTGAGTTCAAGTCCCAGATCTGTGTTCCACTTTCTTTGGGCCTTTGGTTAGCTCTTTGCCCTCCCTCAGGTACCACTTGTCAAAGCTTTTGTGTGTGCATGCAGAACCCAGAGCCTTACACATGTTAGACAAGCACACTACCAATCAAGCTACATCCCATTCCCTGCCTATCAAATCTTGAGCAAGAATTAACTTAACCTGCTCTAGTACCTGTTAAACCAAGATGGAATCCCTGATCCATCATTCCTAGCTCACTTACCAGATGAGCAAACTTTGGCAATCACCCTAAAATGTCTAATCCTCACGTTCATCATTCATAAGGGGCAAAAGTAACCTCTACCTAACAGGATAATGAAAATTCAATTGAACAGCATGGATTATTGAATAGACACATGGCACCATTTCTAGCATGTGGTAAGCGCTCAATGTTATTTTTCTCACCTTTGTTATTATAAATGGATTTTTTAAATATCCCTATTTGGGACAGGTGGTCCTTATTGTTTCTTGTGAATCATGTGAACATAATTCTGAAGGGAATGACTTCTGATGGGAAAGGATCACATGGAAGAGAGTACAATTGTCCCAACTAAGGACATTTGAAATCAGCTTGAAGTTGGCCAAGCCTGAGCCATGTGAGAGGATAGAGCCAGGATCAGCCAAGCTATCCACATGATCGACAGCTCCTCATATCCCATGAGTGAGTCTACTCCTGGGTCAAGAAGAACCAGGCCATGAACATACATCATTGTCAGCAATCATCTGTCCTTACTGCTTCAATGTGGAAGTGTCTTGCTGTTCATCAATAGTTTTTATGCAATCTTCACCATTACTGAGTTCAGTTTACAGACCTCTGGGAGAGAAGCCTAGAAACTAACCACTTCTGAGAACCCACTTTATATGAGGGATATAATTCAATTAGTTTATCTGGAGTGCCCCCTCCTTTGAGGTAGAGATTTTTATCCTCATTTTTACAGACGAGGGAAGAAACTGAAGATAAGAGAGAGACTAATGATCTCAAACTGACCCATAAGAGACAAGACAATAGACCAGATCTATCTGTGGCCCCTTTGCCCCTCCAGCTTCAGCTGGGCCCTGAGTTCAAGGGACTCACATGCATGACATTGGTGCTGTCATTGAAAATCTTCATATATGGCTTCAGGATGTTGAAGTGGAAGGCTGGAGTCAGCATACGACGGTGACAGCTCCACTTGTCACCAGCACTCAGCAAGAGCCCGTCCCCTGGGAGGGCAGCCATGATTAGTGGGCTAGGGCAACACCTTCCGCTGGCCTTCAAGGCTGTCCCCAGGTCCCTTCACTTGCAGTTACTCACCTAGCCAGGGTTTCAGGAAGCTGTAGAAGACCACATCCTTAAGTGCCACCGCAGCTAGCGTGAAAGAGAACCATCAGTGGCTGTGGAGGGGGTACAGTGTAGGGTCTGTGTGCCAGGGGTCTGCACTTCCCTCTCCAAGCCCAACAAAGCAGAAAGAAGCAGAGGACAGAGGAAGGAGTAGAGAGGCCAGTGTGAATCAGAACAGGCTGTAGCAGCAAGTAGAGACAAGGCACAGCCTGACATAGCACCACACACATCAACATGATCTCACATAGCTCCTACATGGTTCACATGGTCTGTCCCACATGAGCACAGCACAACACTCTAGACACATTTATAGAGACCTAGGATACCATGTCTACCCCAGCATTCTCTGACATCTTCTGAAATAGACCTGAAACATGTGACATGGATACCCATGGGTTAACATGTCCTGATGTAGACACAACATATAAGACTTGCCCTAACATAGCTCCAATGCTCTGATATGAATAGATGGTCTCAAATGCCCAGGCACCAGAACAAATTTAAAATTGTCACATTAATTTCCTAGATGTGGCCTTGAAATGAACCAACTGGACCCCAGACATGACTGGAATGTACCCTAAGACCAAACCTGCCTTGGGCAAATAAGGTATCTGTCATTTATCAGGGGGAACTTCAGTCCCAACCTCAGACAAGCCCAGGCATGGCCTAGACATGACCAGCAAGAAATAATGGTAATAACAAAAGCAGACAAATCCTATCATGGCCCCCTATCCACGGCCCAAGACGAGCCCCAGACAAGACCATCTTCACATGATCCCACAAGTCAACCAGGTATAACAAGCCACATATACCAGGTGTAACCAGGTTACAGGTTTAATGTAAATGTGACAAGATATGACCTTATTGCAGGTGTAGCCATACGGAAGACTTCATAGTAAATGTTAGAGACAACAAGCAGACATGGAGTGCAGGTGAGACAGAGACAGGGACATCACTGCCACAGTACCTCCTGCCTGTACTTGAGTCACATAGTTAGCTAGAAGCAGCTCAGAGACCTCAGTGGTGGGCAGCTGAAGCATGGGAGTTATGGAGGTGAGTGTGGAAGATGGGGATGACCTGCATGTTCAGGGTCTCTGCCACCAGCAGCACATATCCCTGGAGGTGCTCGCCAGGACCTGGGTATATAGGACACCTGCCTACAAGCTCTAGATCTGTAGAAGAACAATATGGACTCAATGCCTGCTCCTCTAGTCTTCCATTGAGAAAGATTGCAGTACAGAAAGCCATCCAGAGCCTAGGAATTCTGCCCAGTCACTAGTCCTCACTATGCTGACCTCTGCCTGGGCTTCCTCCAATACCTTCAGAACATAATAATCCCATTCTTCAGTTGCAGGGACATAAGAATTCCTACTCCATTTGAATCCCAAACACCACATTTCCATAGCCTCTTCAGTCCCATTTTCTAGATAGAGACTGAGGCTTTAAGGATGAAGTCACTTTCCCACTACCTCCTAAATAGTAAGGGGCCTGCCTGAGACCTTGGTGTGGCTCCTTCTCACTCAATAGCCTGAGTTCTTAACCATTCAACTTCTTAGCGTTCCCCAAAACAATGGCACTGGAAGCCCCATGCCTGTCAACACTTGGCAATAGAAATGCCAAAAGTTGAAAGAGGACTTTGGACTTTGATTTGGGTCACGACAATTAAAGTGAATTACAGGCCACTTATGGGAACTGGGGGAAAGATGAGATTTCCCATGGAACTGAACTGTGAGTCATCATGAGATCCAAAAGAAAAGGCTGCCTTGAAAGGGAAAGCTTCACACAGGAAGGTAAAACTGACAGAACACAGGTTGTGATGTCATTCTTGTACACATGGATACAACTGTGCCTGAACCACCTACTCTAGTCTACAGTCAAGAAGTTCCCTTTCTTTCCTTAGACCACAGCAGGGTGGCTCTCCACCACTTACTACTGACAGAGAACTTGGCAGGCAGAGAGAGCCAGAAACCTGCCCTGGCAGGTGTCAGAGCCATGGTCCCTGTGGGCTGCTGCCCCTTCCCAGGCTCAACATGGCCAGGCTAAGGATGGGAAGGGAAGAGGACACAGAGGGGAGCCAGGTTGGTATTGGGTGTCCTAGGGGAGATTCCTGGAGCCCAGAGCAGGAGGACACAGGATAGAGTAGCAGGAACTGACTCAGTACAGTGGGAGAGCATGGGAATAACAGACCAGACTCCCCACTGCCACAAGCTCTCTTGTTGCTCTGTGAGTTGGTCACATTGATGACAGGTATAAAAGAGGCTTCAAAAGCTGGTGATGCCTACTACACAACTGAACCTGCTTTAAACAGTCCCACTCATCCTTCCAGATGCCCCTGCCTCTGTTTTCCTTGGAACCCCACCTTCTGACTAGCAAAGAATTTGCTTCCTTATAATCCAGCAGTCTAGTCTCTCTTTCTGCCCATTCCTGAATCCATGAGGTTGTGGATGTCTCTGACCTGATCCTCCTATTCTAGAATGTGGGCTCCCCCAAGATATGGCGTTGGATTGAGGAACTCTGAGGATTCCAGGAGAACACCACAGTGGGGTAAGTGTTGACAGCAGTGGAGAGAGATAGTAGAAAGGGAGCTGGTGAAGACATGAAGGAAAGATGGAGGGAGTTGAGAGAGAGCAGGGAAGGAGGGGTGGGGCTAACACAGAGCCATACAGAAGCATGGGATCACAACTAGAAGTACTCAAATGTGCCATGGCACCTACCACCAGCCACTCCCCATGAGTACCTGAGGCATTGAGGACAGATCGGACGATGTCAGGGTGGCACAAATTGATGAGGGGGAAGATGGGACCCATCCACACCATAAAGCCCTGGGGGTAGGTGCCCACTAGCTGAGTCACTTCCTTCAGGCCCTGTTCTGTGGGGGGTGCCTGCAAATGAGACAGGGTGGTCACCTCCTGTGATGGCTCATTTTAGTTGGCAAATTGCCTTGGTTAAGGGATATAAGGATGGAGGGTAAAACCCCATTTATGTGTCTGTGAGTGTTTCAGACGTGATTAGCATTTGCTTCCTCAGATTGAGTCGTAAGACCCAGCATCTACGATATAGCTGGCAGGCTCAATTCACTGAGGATGCAGATAAAATGAAATCATCAGAAGAAGGGAAAATTCTCTCTCACTTCCAGAGCAGCACATCCATCTTCTATACTTGAACATCAAAACCTGAGCATCAAGTCTTCAGCCTCTAGGACTTCCAGTAGCCCTTCCCCACCCCCAGATCTCAGTCAGACCTTTGGTCTCATTTTGAATTAATTGCACAACAGCTTCCCTGATCCTCCATCTTGAGGATGGCATATTGAGTCTTATCAATTTCAATGATTACATAAGCCAATACCCATAATAAATACACCTTTTCTTCTGTCTCTGTCCGTATATATGCCTCACTTCTATGGGGATTGGTGGTCAAAGATCACTTTTGTAAAAACTGAAAGCCCTGGTTTGGGTTGACACAAACAAATGTTCCAGGCAGTGAGCAGACCCTGGACAGCACCCCTCAGAAGACCTGAGTCCAGGGGCGGAGAATGTGAGACTCCAGGGGTCCTCACTCTGGGTATCTCTCCCAGGGGAGCCCTTAGAGGTGCACAATGTATGGAAAACAGGAAGGAAGTGAATGTAAAGCAGACCAAGGCAGGGAGGACAGGAATGGGAGAACTTCTTAGGTGGCACAACAAGGACCCAAGCCCACAACTGAGCACTACTCCCTGACTCCTCAGAAGTCCATCCACGCTGACACTCCAGAACTGCCCTGCTGACAACTCACCATGCCCAGGTGACCAATGAGCCAGTTCCGTTTGGGGGGCTGAGGGAAACATTGGAGGCGACGAGAGTTTTTATAGAAGGTGTAGATCTGGGTCAGGACGTGAGCCAGGAGCCAGGAGGCCCCAGCCAGCAGCAGGAGCAGCCATGGGGAGGCAACCACCGACCCCAGGTCCATCCAGGACAGGCTCATCTGGGGCATCCTGTAGGGCAGATGGACAGATAGTGAGTGCCTAAGACCCAGGAGAGGAACAAGGAGTTCAGGACAGTGGGCAGGGGCAGAGACTGTGAGTGTTGAGAGCAGGGCAAGAAGGAGAAGTGAGTCACAGGACAATTCATTAGAAGAGGCTGGAGAAGGAACAGGAGGAGGAATGGAAGAATGAGGAAGAGGGGAAATGGAGGATGAAGAAAAGGACAGGTGAATATGGTGGCAACGATTATATAGGAGACCTGCATGAATCATAGAGAGGGCCTGTTAACAGGACACTACTGGCCTTCTGAGCCAGCTGGATTCTGTTGTTGCCCAGCCCTCGGTAGTGGGAACCCTGGGATAGCACCAGCTCTGAACAAAACCCTCCCCTCCAGGTCAGGACCCTCCAGCCCCACCTCCCCCAGTCTGGCACCTTCTCTTAGGAGCACCTAGTCCTTCACCGCCTCTTCTCCCTTGGTCTGGGACTCCCTTGTCTCTGGTTCCTGACCTGGAGAAAGCTGTGGGAGGCTGGAATGGCTGCTGCAGCCAATCCCTTCAGGCCTGCCTACCTCCTCCCTGCCTGGGCAGGTGGCCAAGGCATGGGGGCAGGGTCAGCTGGGTACAGAGAAGAAAACAAAAAAGTCCCTCCCACGTGGGGTGGCCTACACAATTGGGGGAGATACAAGGGTGAATCTGAGACCCAAAGTTTACAACCACTCAGGCCTTTCCAAAAAGAGGGTGCAGCAGATAAAAGCATGAACTTAGTGTTCAGGGGGCAGGAGACCAAGGTCAGGCCAAGCCTTGTCCTAGAACATCTACCACAACCCTCTTCAACTTGGGCTGGGAAGACGTCCTCCCAGTTTCCTGTGCAGAATTCAGAGGCTCTGACAAGACAAGCCAGCCTCTGCCTACCAGCTGCACAGCCTGGCAAGGTCGTCTGAAGTCTTGCCTTCAAGCAGCCCAGCAACTCTGAGTAGAGACAGACAGTTTAGGAGCAGGAACAAAGAACCCAGCCCCTCAGGGGATTTCCTGTGTCAGATTCCAAGGATAACAAATACAGTTGGTAGAATTCACTTGGAGGCTGGGCTTAGGTGGACATGTCAGGTAGAAGGAGTGCAGAGGCTTGGGGGATGAGGCCAGAAGGGCCCTGAGTAGGTGAACTTTGGCCAGGTGAGGTCAGTGTACTTCTTTTTCTTTATGAAGTTCGCATGGCACTTTAAATAACAGTTACTCACCTGTAAAATTACAATATATATGTTTAAATAGGAACTGCTTAGAGCCATGCCTGGTATATATGAGGACTCCATACATGTGACTGTTGAGAAGACAGTGAGCACTGTGGTTGGTGACAACACACACACAATGGTGGCTCACACAAGGAGGGGCTGTGTGACTCTGGGCACATCTCTTTACCTCATTGTACCTCATTTTCTCATCTAGAGATTGGAGGGAATAGCAAGATTGTTGTAAAAATTAAATAAATAACAACAATACTACCTGTCCCATGGTCAGAACCAAGCCTGTATTTACCTTTATTACTTCATACTGTGGTGTCAGAATGAAGACATTGGCACCCTTTTGGCACACCCATAAGGAACTTGCTGGCTGCAAGCATCCCTCATTCATTCCATGGGCCATAGCTGGCTTTTAGGAAAGCAGTAAGTGCCTGGTTTGGGGTCAGACAGCCCATGGTCAAGGTCAAGATCTGCCACTCAAAACCTATGTGACTTTGACAAGTGACTTACCCTTTCTGAACATCAATTTCTCCTAGGCCTATCCTAAGAGAATCCTATGGGGAGTGAAGGAGACAGTCAAGCTATGTGTCTTAGTTTGGATTCCCCAGAAGCAGACCCCGATGCAGAGTGTGAAGTGCAAATACTTTATTTGGAGGTGACCTTAAGGGAAGAATTCAACAGGAAACACCAGCAGGATGGTGGGAAGTGAGGTGGGAAGGGGAGGCAGAAGTGAAAGGGGACTAGATGAAGGAATTTGGACTGTGGAGCAGTGTGGCTCAACCCTGCTGGGGGTTTTGGGAGCTAGCACTGCAGACACACCTCAGAGTCATCCTTTCCAGAGTGAGAGGGATGGGGACTATATACCTCATAGCCACTCCTTAGTGCCAGGGCTGCTTCCAAGGGCCGTGTTTTTCCAGAATGTTTGCACTACAGGGTGCCAGACCTGGGGACATGGGGATGGAACCAACTCAGTGCCTCCACACATGAACACAGCCCAGTGTAAACAGGCACATACATTAAGTGATTATTCACACTAACAAATGAGCACATGTTTGCATATCAAAACTGTAGTTACAGATGCAAACAAGCACACATATGCATACTACTGCACTGCACACAATTATGTGCACACATACAGGACACACTTGTAGACACAATTGCACACACTCAGACTCATACACACAAGTCTCTCACATAAATGCACAATGAAGCAGCCCTTGGAGCCTGCTGCTCCCACGCTGCCCACCAGCAGAGGGAGCCTCCTCTACACTCAGGAGGGGAACAGGCCTCACAACATCCAGTGACAGCACCAGGCCTTGGTGTTCTAGAATTACAGAGGCAGAATCTCCAGGATCCTTACTCCCGGCTGTCTCTCTCTCTCTGTCTCTCTGTCTCTCTCTCTCTCTGTCTCTCTGTCTCTCTGCCTCTCTCTCTTTCTTTCTCTCTCTCTCTCTCTCTCTCCATTCATTCACCATTGTAATCCTTGGTGGAATCTCAAAGCCTGTTTGAGTGGGAAGGGAGACATTGAACGCCAAGGTATAGATGACTCTATGAAGCAGTTTGCTCCATCATGAAGCAAAGAATGTACCACTGGCTGGTGAGAAAGTGAGGCCAAGGGAAGGACTGGTGTGATTGAGAAAAGGTTATTGTTAGTACTCCAGGTAAGTACTGAAAAATCAATTTCCATATTCCATGGATCAGCAAATATGCTTGGTGAACTGGTTCTGACCTGGTCCCTTTTTGAGTGGCCTGTGAGCTAAGAACGATTTTTAAATGGAAATAAAAGCTTTTAGGAGACACAGGGAAAACAAGATAGGCCATTTATTTACTACATATGGTCTTTTCTGAAAAATATGCCAACTCCTGCTATGTAAAACAATAAATAATCAGAAAATAAGTGTCTTAAGTGTTTTAGTGTTTTTACAATAACATGCACCTGTAGGAATGTGCTCAGATGTAAATCTAACAAAGTATGTGCAGAATTTCTATGGTGAAAACTTCAATACACTGATGATAGAAATCTAAGAAGATCCAAAGAAATAGAGACATATACAATGTTTATGGATAGGAAGCTTAATCTTATTAAGATGTGGTCCATCCTTGCAATGGAAACTACTTAGCAATACATACAACATGTAATATGCAATATGCTAATGAAGATAGTCAGACTCCAAAGATACACACCAAACAAACCACTTATCCAACCTCATTGAAAATGTGTTATTATAGACAGAATAGGTTACCGGTTTCCACAAGTTAGGAGTGGAATGAAATTTATTAGTGCCAGGAAGACTGTTGTGATGGTGGTTACCCAACTCTAGGCATTTGTCATAATTCAGAATTGTACACCAAAGATAGTATACTGTACTTCTGAAAACTTCATTGTAATTTTAAGATGATTGGAGTGGCTATAATGATATGTTATTTTCTAGGTATACCAAGAAAGGGTATGCCAAAAAAGTGTGTACTTAAAGGTGAAAAAAATGGGAAGGTAGAGAACCAATATTTTTTACTATGTGTTTTAATTTTTAAAGTAGTGAATGTAAAATTTATTACATTGAAAAGTTGTAGACACCACCTGTCAAAGAGTCTGGCCATTATGTCTGATTGGTCACCTCAGCAGATCTGATGTGCCTAGGTCTGAAAGCCACAGTGAAACACATTCTTCATAGGTAAGGAGCAGCCTCAGAAGCCAACCTGACAAACTCGGCCCCATTTGCCACTTACTGACCCAATGACAATAATGTCTATGTCTGAGTAAAGAGTTAATGTCTATGTCTGCTAGGCAGGCCCTCACCACTGGAGCCACTACCTCAGCAATCCAGTCCTCTTAACCAGACCAAAAAGTCAGTAAGGGTGGAGTTTCCAAGCCAAACTTGTTCCAGGAAATCCTACAAGGATATATGTGCATCCCTTGCTATGAAATGAAATCTCTAGTGCAAAAGTTATTTGAGAAGAGTAACAATTTTCATTGGCAATCATATCTCAAACCATCAATGTGCAGAAAGGTAATTCATGGAAATGAGAAACAATATTCTGAAATTATTAAAGTAGTTTAAATGATTTTTCTAATATTATGCTTTTCTTTCTTTAAAAAAGGAATGACTAGAACTTAATACAAAGATTTAAGACCACATGATATGATGATTAACGTCCTAGAAATACATCAAGGTGGTGGAAATGTAGGGCAACTGCGGGTTTTCCTCCCTGACAGAGTCTCAAACCTGCCTTTAACCCTGGTCCCCCTCTTCCACAAACACCTTGCCTCGTTTGCTTCCCAGAGAATGTACCATCAGCGTGGGTACCCTGTGGTCAACCAGAGGCAGTCAGACTCTTGGGCTCAGAGATACTAAATTCCTGCCTCCTCCACCCTAGGATCCTACAGTCCCCTAGTGCCCACTACCATTGCTAGTGAGGCTCAGACACAGGTGACAGCACAGTTTATTACAAGGATTCAGCATGGTGGTGGGTGGGGTTTGGGAATTCCAGAGCAGACACAGGTGACAGCATGGTCTTATCCCTGGGAATCTGCATGGTGGGTGGGTGGGATCGGCGGTGGGGGGGGGGACCCAGGGCACACACAGGTGACAGCGTGGTCTTATCCCTGGGAATCTGCATGGTGGGTGGGTGGGGTTTGAGGTCGGAGGGCAGACGCAGGTGTGACAGCGTGGTCTTATCCCTGGGAATCTGCATGGTGGGTGGGTGCCCACGGTCGGGTCCCGCAGGCTGTGGTCACCGAGCGCCCGCGCGCAGCGGCTCCACCCGCAGCCACAGCCC